AGAGAGAGAGAGAGAGAGAGAGAGAGAGAGAGAGAGAGAGAGAGAGAGATTTGGACTCGTATCTCCCTGTACATAAACACGTGGGCGTGTGTATTTCAGGACTCACGGAACCTCATTGCGTATGTAGGACAGTCGGTCTCGCTCGAAATGAAGACGAATCGTTTCTTGTCGACGATCGAGATTGGCCCTGAGGGCGTCTCGACGCCGTTCCGCCGGTAACATTAGGTGCGGACAATGAGATTGGAAAAACAACATCGCGTCGAGGCTATCCCTCTAACGGTACACCATGCCGCTTCTATAAAACCCGCGTATCAGCACCGTGGCGACGTTATTCGGGACAGAGAGTCTCGCGGAACACCGTATCCCCGTAGTGTCGATGAAATGATCGTCTACCACCGCGCGTCAACCACCGTGTGCATCTTGGCATCGTTGTTGCTTTGCCTGACATCATGCACTCTCGGCGAATACGGTAGGGACGATTCCATCTCTTGGAGCGTATTACGAGGACCGTCTTCCGAGCGGTTTGAACAACGTTCGCGTCATTGCGAACGAGTTTGCGGGAGGGTGAAGGAAGAGCCGCGCGAAAAAAAGGGATTTTTCTGTCGTTACGTGCGGACGTGCCACCATCTCGCCATCTCGTTTCATCTCTTTTCCACTCGCATTGCGCTCCGAATATTCGGTTCTCGATTATGAATGTCTCGACGAGTGAGTTGTTTGTTGTCGGTTGCGCCCGCAGAATCGAGGGAGATGTCGAACGGCGAGTCGAGCGAGTCGAGGTTGCCGGGGAACAACTTTGGCTCGTGCACCGACGGTAAATGCATGAAACGCACCACGCAGGAAATCACGGGCGGCATGTGGTTCGGCCCGCGTCTGGGAAGACGACGTAGATCGGGCGAGAGGCCGGAACTGAGCCCCGAGATCGAAGCGAGCGCTCTGGACGGGACACACTGGACTCTCGTCAAAATCCCAGGTGAGATTCTCGAGATTCTCCCGCCGAGCGGAGATTTCCGTCTTTTCCGTCGCTGTTCTCATCGCGCGAATCAGCCATCGGAAAAGCTAGCGACATGTATACATACGAAATGAGTTCCAGCTAACGACAAGAGGCAACCGACTCAATTTACGCCGCGTCTGGGACGCGGCTCCAGCGAGGACCTCTTCTCCTATGGAGACGCGATGGACAGGAGCGAGGAGAACGAACGTCCGTTACCGCCGCTTTTCGCGCCGCGTCTAGGACGTCGGCTTCCTTGGGCACCGTCGCCGAGACTCGGCCGTCAATTGCGCAACGCGCTGCGAAAGATGTAGGCATCGCCGCGACGACGCACGGCTGGACACCCCGACGAGAAACGGCGAATTGAAATTATAGCGCAATTAAGATACAGAAAAAGACAAAAAAGAAAAGCGTCTATTTTTCTTCCTAAAACTAGCCGCTACTCTCTTTTACCTGTCTCACCAGTTATCGCGCGCGCGATTCTGTGTATTCAAACTCTTAAACGCGCACAAAGGTGACAAGTGTGTGGGATAGTGCATGCACGCGCGCCGCTAGTTTGTACATGGAAAATGATTAACGCTATTTTCGGCTTCGAGAAGGGTTGAGACATCTCTCTCTCTCTCTCTCTCTCTCTTTCTCTCTCAAGAGGAAGCGAGAGAAAGAAGGGTAGGGTGCCGAACTACAGCTTGTAATTTCTCGACCGGAACTACCGCGAGCCATGTGGCAACATGGAAGATGGTCATAATCATAAAACTCAAAAGCAGCAGATACATGTTAGTCTCCGACCCCTTTTGTACAACGGTATATCGTATATCGAGAATCATCCGTTTTCGACAAAGTATTCAGAATATTAATGATTATCGTTCCGATATGTTGTACCAATTGTTTGCGGGTAATGTAAAATATTTTCAGGTAAACATTTTTTTCGGAAGCTTCATCTAATGCGAGACAGACTCGCAATTTCTTTGGGCAAATATTTTTAATAAAGAGATGGAAATACACCCGTTTCGACATTTTTGTGCCCTTCATTTGCCACTGCAAACAGGCGTTATACGATTATATAATATCAGTTATTACCACTTATTTACTGAAATAATTTCGTTGAAAATATTCAACGAAAGAGTTGATAATTTATAGAGAAGTAAAATGAATAGCAATGAGAATCTCTAGAATAAAACTACGAGAGATCGACGTAAGAGGTAAATTACTTTATAATCTTTTCTCAAATAATATTCTCAATGTAAATTAATTCATGGAATGGAATTATAATTTATGGGAGGGGCGGGCACATCTGTTTATGTGGCAGTGATATTCAGAGAAGGAACTTTGACGCGATCACACGTATACAAAACGATATGGAATTATCGCTTATAAATAAATAATTGCCCCTGTGTCTATCACATGCGTGATATCAAATCAAGTACGCTTTGAATCAGAGCAAGTTCAATTTTCCATTGTACGAATACGGGAAAATTGGCTACGTTCAGAGCCGAGATTCGTTAGATTTGTCAAAGGTACATACACGAATCAACGACTCGCATACACACACACACACACACACACACAGATCTATCGCATATCGTGATTCTGCTGAACTTAACGATTAATCTTGCGTCAACTTGACAATTCTATCGTCGCGTATAAATCTCATTGAAATCGCGTTTCGATTCTTGAAAGAGATAAATTTACTTACCGAATTTTGCACACTAAGTCATCATCTTCTCAAACTTTTCCATTGGCGTCAACTTCGAATTGAGATCGCGCGAGGTTAACCGCGTCGGTTCATATCGAGTATGCTCGCATAAATAACGTAGACTGACTGCGGCAATCAACTGAGTACTCACTAACACGCTGTTACGATTGTTCAACATTTGTGACAGCTATTCGCACGCACGATCACGTTTTACGAGAAAAAATTCGAGTAATTCGCGCGGCACTTTGAGTACCAAAGCGATCTGCCGCGAAACAAACATGTCGGTCAGAGGCCGGTAATATAGTCTTATAAAACCGGTATAATAGTCACATTTAGGTTGCGTTTCAATATTACCTGCCAATATTGAAAACCTATAATTCATGTCACATATACTATAGATCTTCAGTATTGGCAGCGAATATCGGAACGCAACCGTAGTGTCATGATAAAAGCACTCGTGTCGCGATTGACGTAACGCGCATCATGAATTGTCCAATAAAACGATATCTCGATTATTATTCAGAAATTATATTTGTAATTATATTCAATCGTATTCCGCGATTACTCAAACGTAAAGTACAAAATCACTTATAAAAGGAGTAATTTTAATATTTCTTTGCACGGTTTTGTTAAAAAAACGAGTCATAATGTACAATAATATGAATATATAGATACAATGCGTGTGATAGAAATATTTTTTCGTAACCCTATATCTAGTAAATACATGTTGATGACGACAGTAACTTAATTAGCTTAAGAACTAGATAAAGAACGATATCGGATATCGGTTGGAAATATATATATATAATTTAAATAATAATGATATGATAAAGAGGCAAAAACATTTTTTTTTCAAATTATAACAAATATATTTTTTCCAGAAATATATACATACACACGCGTGTAGGTCCTTTAATATGTCTCGAGAAATATAAGCTTGTTACATCAATTTTTCTTCTTTCTACTTTTTACACAGGTACGACAGTTGATTATTTTAAACATATGAACAATAGGAATGTATTGCATTCATTATGTTCTCATGTATATATTATGTCACTGTTAAAATTTCACTTTTAGTTGTCCGTTTTAAGCTTGAATCTTATCTTGCAGCAACTTTTCAAGCTTGAGCGCATCTGCGGCAAATTTGCGAATACCCTCGGACAATTTGTTGGTCGCCATTTCGTCTTCGTTTAAAAGCCATCTAAACTCCGGCTCGTCCAAGTCGAGCTGTTCAAAATCACTCCTCTTTGCAGATTCCATGCTCAAAACTTTATCAACAGGCTCGTTGCTCTTATCCAATTCGTCCAGTAATTTCGGGCTTATAGTGAGACAATCACAGCCAGCGAGTTCTTTGATTTCACCTAATTATAGTATTAAATTCAAAAGATAAGCCAGAGTGTGTATATCAATAGACCTCCACACACATAAAAGTATCTTTTGCAATAAATTCATTAATGTCACGTAATTAGATATTTTTTAAATCTTTTTATTATCCTATTTTAGAATACTTGCCGACATTTCTGAATGAAGCACCCATTACGGTCGTTTTGTAATCAAACTTCTTGTAATAATTGTAAACTTTCTTCACGAAGACAACGCCTGGATCTTCTTTCGCTTCGTAAGACTTTTTATCCGTATTTTCTACATACCTAAAAGAGAATTTCGTTTTTTATTCTTGTGTAGAAATTCGAAAACAGATCAGATTTAACTATTTTTACCAGTCGAGAATTCTACCGACAAACGGTGAAATGAGAGTGACTCCTGCGTTTGCGCAAGCAGCAGCTTGCGCGAAAGAGAACAACAGCGTCAGGTTACAGTGAATTCCATATTTGTCCTCCAACTCTCTAAAATGTTATCATTGATCAATATATATTCGTAGAAAAATGTTTATGTATTAAAGATTGTAAACATTTATATATTATTTCGCTGAAAGATTATATAACGAGATAGTAATTTTAATCCGAAAAATAATTTCTTTTCCTTTACCTTGCCGCTTGAATGCCTTCCCAAGTTGAAGCGAGCTTGATCAAGATTCGATCCTTACTCACGCCGAGTCCTTCATACAAAGTAATCAAACGTTTCGCCTTCTCAATGCTGGCTTCCTTGTTGAAGGATAATCTGGCATCCACCTCTGTGGAAACTCTTCCAGGGATTACGTTCAATATCTCTTTGCCGAATAAAACGCACGTGATATCAAGGGCTGCTTCAACCTGCTCGACTAAAGTGCTGGGAAAAAGAGCCTCTACATTAATATTATAATAGGTTAGCTAACAATATTGAAGTTAAGAACTCGAACAAATTTGAAGAACTCGTACAAATTTGCAAGAAAATTATCAATATGACGTTATAGTAAAAATTCTCGTTTTATCTTAGGGGGAGATATGCGACAGCAACGTTACAATACCAATGTAGTTGAAAACAAGAAACTTTAAGCTGCAACATCTTGTGTGCAAATTCGCAACAGTTTTGTGTGTCGGAGTATACGTTAACAAATTGTATGTAAATACTTACGATCCAGACTTTTTACCGTATTGAGCAGCCTTCTCAATCAAATGTGCATATTTTTTTTGATTAGCAACAGCAAGGATCAAGGACGGATTCGTGGTTGCATCCATGGGCTTAAATTGTTCCATAACTGTGTCCACAAAGAAAATAATAACAATATTAGTGTTTATCTCAGTTATTTCTCATTATTTATTTATGACGACAATTTGTTGAAATATTTCCAATTCACTTATCATAGAGAGAGATAGAGGGGGGAGAGGAGGAGAGGGAGAGAGAGGGAGGGGGAGAAAAAGAGAGCATCTTACTCTTGGACTTTTTTTCTTTCGTTGCGCAGAGATCAAAGTGTTTCTTATATAACAGAATTTTTATCATTTATATAGTATGATAAACTTACGTTATACCTACACTTATTTTCAAAACAGTTTGACCTCTTTCCTGTCAATATAGTTTGAAACACAGCCAATGGTCCAACAAGAGAATTAAATAATCAAACAAGAAAACTAAACTAGAACTTCTGGGAATTAATTAAAAACAAGTTGTCTCTCTCACTACACTATTGGCTGCATTTTAAACTGCAACGAAAAAAGATTACTCAAACTAATTTGATTATACTGTAAGTTACAAAATGGCTTAGATACAATGAAGTTGGCTCAAGAAACTATCACAATTTAGAATCATTATCAAAGGGACACTTGTGCAATATTAACGTAATTAATAACGTAATTAATAATGTAATTATGAACATTAAATGATAATTATTAATAATACTAATAATAATTGATAATATAATAACTAACAAGTTCATTACACGTACACAGTAGTGACTTTCAACTTTGACAATTTGGCAAACTTCTAACTTCATTGTGGTCCATATTCTCAATTCACTTTTATCAATAAAAGAGAGCTCAGAATATCCATTGTATCTAAACTGTTTTGCAACTCATTGTAGTATATCGTAACCGTTTGGGGTTTCAATAATTCCTCATGAAACAATCGCACAAGTGAATTGTGTGAATGCAAAGTGAATGCGTTATTATCGTTTTGAAGAATAATAATTTGTCATCATCAAACTGTACCATAGAAAAAATAAATTTGTCACGTAAGAGTGGAAGAAATTAATTGATCAATGCAAGCAAGATGATAAGTAAAAATAACAATGATAGTTTCGGCTTATTATTAAGCGCGGATTATTATTATATATTCTAATTGAGTAAGCTATTCTATCAATTATTAATAAATTTTCACAATCGTGAAATTAATTCTGATAGTGCGAGATATCTTCAAATCATCCTGAATTTGCTATGAAGACTATGCCGAACTTTTCGGGCGTTTCAAGCACATTCAGGATCATTTTGGAACATATTGTGCTTCTTAGGTTTTGCGTGTGAGCAACTTGTTTTAGGTTTGACTTTACTTTCAGCTCAAAATGAACAATTTTGTAAAAGTGGATTGTTCTCTTTTTAAAAGTATTCAATTGCTCTTTGCGAATTCAGTAACACTTTCAACGATACTCTATTTGTTCGTAATATGAAGAATCACGCGATGAACATTAGCACAAAAAAAGAAAACGAGCTGTAACGTCTCCTCTCTTTCCCCGCTGTTCCTTGTGCGATGACCTTCGTCACCTTCATCTTTAACCAAATTCGAATGTTAATATTTACCTTCAAAATCGCCAGTGTCGGCGACCACCATAGTATGATCTTTCAGCTGTTTCAACGAAGTCATGGTTTTTACTTTTTTCGACTGCGGCTCGCTCATTGCCCAAATTATTTATATATCAGCAGAGGATGCAAACACACGCGTCTCACGCGATGTGTTCTTCAATTACCAACTGCAACGCGCGGCGGGTTTGCCAACAGTTCATAGATTTGCTCATTTTCGATGAACTTTTTGAACTAGTGCACTCTAAGGCTAGTATTCAGGGGGTCGATTGTGTATCTCAAAACAGTGAAAATGACAAAAGTGAGTAAATTTACTAGAATATTTACCAACTTCATTAGTCAATGTCTAGTGAATTTGCTCACTTCTGTAATTTTTATTCCGTTTCGAGATACACAATCGACCCCCTGAATCGAGTTTTATGGAGGATTCACACTGCGTTGATGTCCAATTTATATCCAATAAAGGAACAGCTTCCCAATGGAGAAACTGTCATTCGTATGTACTTGACCGAAAAAAATCGCTGGTTGGAAAACTACTCTTTTAAATCGTTTGTATTTCGTATGAAGAGTTTTGAAGTGAAATTGAAAAGATTTGTGAGTCGTTTTATTAATTGTAATTAATTGTTCATTTTTGGACCATGCATTTAGTCGAAATAATGGCCGGAGGTTAATTAAACAAAGTTCCGATGTGGTATCGTTTGTATTTCGTATGAAGATTTATGAAATATCATTAAAAAGGTTTGTGAATCATTTAGATAATTTTAATTAAATATTAAAAAATTGTGTAATTGGCCGAAATATAGATTTCAAGCGCTGCTGTGGAAGTACCGTCAGGCACGATCGGTAATCTACTTTTTACTTTCTACTTTTTAGATATTTTACAAATATATGATACTTTTTCATAATTTAATTTAGTGCTTCTAATTTTTCTAATAACTCATTGTTTTGTAATATTATTGTTACATATTTTACGAAACTATATTATCTGATACTGTTAATTCTTATAAATATACTATCCGCTACGCTACCCCAAAGGCCGGTTTATGATGGCCGTAATCCATCAACCATAGCCATCAGTATAATTACCATATTTTGCAAGAAAAATATTTTTGTACTATCTTAAAAAATGAATAGATTTTATATTGAAGCATATACAGGAAAACGAGATTTTAAAAAACTTCTCGAACCATTCCATAAGTTTCGGTATAACCGCCGTTACATTATGACGTGTTCGAACACCTGATTTCTTTTGGAATACATATCTCGGTACTTTGGATGAATGGGCAATAAAAATAAGTCTGAGTCCAAATAAAATAAGAAGAACCATTTCAATGTCATTACTTTTTTCATGGTAATAGTTTGCTGGATTTTGCTTATTCTCTATATGATCGTTTATAAGGGTGAATTTTAATATTAAAAAAAAAAAAGAAAAAAACGAATATTTCATCACTTTTACTTGTGTGTAAACGTGCGTAATATAAGGTTCGTTAATTAAAATCAAAGTTACAGAAATGTAAAAACGCTAATGTAAAAATCATGTGTATATTAAAATTTATGTAAATTAAGTACATAGAATATATACGTATGTATCAACTAGTTAGGTCCGTGTGTATGTATACATAACTTACAGGCCTGCTAATGCATCGTATAATGAAATATATCGAAACGATACATTATGTATAAAAGAGATGGCATTATATAAAAATAAAATTAAATAGTATACAATACACACACTCGTCGTTTGTACTTACAACAAACGAATGGAAAATTGTAATTTTTCTACAAGTTTTATTTGTGTGGAATATCTTAAAATTATCACAAGATACCTCGCAACATCGTTAAATCGTGGATATAAAAACATCATTGCATTCTTGATTCCGTTATATATACAATTTCACAATTTCATAATTTTGTCACGTTACATTTCATAAGATCAATTTGACCGACATTTCACCGGACGAATAACATTCGTTAAATATTTAGTAGCCACTTTATCTACAATCATATTATCATTTGTTCTGCTTTGTTTTATTAGATTTAACGGATTTGACGATCCCTTTGAATATCGTTAATTCGAGCAGCAGCTCGAAGGAAAATTTGGAGAAAACCGGTGAAATTGATCGTCGTTAAAGCTACGATACGACTCTTATTGCCGTGTTGCGTTTCCAATATTATCAGACTTTATTAGCAGGCGTATGCTTATCAAGGGGTGTTGTTTTCGGTTGATGGCCATACAAGAAAATCGAGCAAATGACGAGAAGTGCGCCTAGAGCAAATTGAAACGTTAAGCGAAAGTCAAACAGATAAATGGAAGCTATGCAAGAGATGATAATGGCCAGGGATGTGGCGAAGCCTTTCAGTATGTTGTCGGCATACTTGACCACCATGGCTACGATCAATCCTCCGCCTGCTTGTAAGACAACCAGATAGCCGATGAATAGATCATAGCCGAAAAAAAAGCCTTGCTTGCGTATGACATTACTGTCCTGTAAAAAGCAAGTACCTAGGCCGAACGGTATAGACAACACGCTCAATTGCACGTTTCGCATCCACACGGAGACGTCGGAACCCTTGAGTATTTTTTCAAAGTAAATGCCCGCGAAACCGGACAGGAAACACGCGCTCAGAGCGGCCGAGAAACCCAGCAAGTGATTCTGTTCTATGCCCGAGGGTACCAGTGCTTTTATGCTTTGAGCTAATTGCACCAGGACCACACCAATTACCAAGAGTACCAGAGCACCCCACTGAATGGTACGCAATGACTTGCGCAATATTGTTACCGCAAAGAAGGCCGTCGTTAAAATTTTCAATTGATATGTCACCTGAAAAAAGGATCAAATTTATTATTTGAAAGTTGTGTGCACACATTTTATGTATATATTGTGTGCACATTTTATATATATATATATATATATATATATATATATATTGTGTGTGTGTGTGTGTGTGTGTTACAGATGATGTCTCTTATATAGTATATTTTATCTCTTAGTATATATCTCTTCTCACACAATTTGTATAGATAGATACATCTGGATATATGCCTTACTTGATACGTAGCTGCATCCAGATTAGACGCAGATACATAAAGTAAGTTGTTTTGTATGATATACAAAAGGGATGGCACACAGACTTTCAAAGTATCCATGGGTTGCTTCACAATTGTTACATGTAGAGACTTATAAAATTTCTTCACGCTACCTTCTTCGATGAGTACCAATACCAAACATGTGCACAGCTTGACTACTTCAGCCATCACAACAGCTGCAATAAAGAGATGTTATTATACACATACAAATATACACACACACACACACACACACACACACACACACATATATATATGTATATATATATATATATGATAAAAAAGCTGCTCATTACATACAGAGAATATTGTATTATGAAAGCAGTATTGTGTTGCATAAAATTCAACTGATGATACTTGCCAGTAGAAGAAAGGAACATGTCACCTGCTCTGGTACGAGAGTATCGCATACTAAGGCAGACCATTGCATTTTGAAGTGTAAGTGTGATCAAGCTCACATATTTGAGTGTTTGTCCGGATTCTGTAATCCAAGTTTCAAAAATGTCCACCTTTGTATGGCAAGATAATCATAACTATTAGTTATTTATTTGTGTGAATATATATTAGTAATAATATCACTCACTCGTTGAGTTCTTGCTCATGTTTACAGTAGATTCTTAACTTTTATGAAATAATTTGTAGATATTTCTTCATAAACTACATTTTTTTTCCTGTAAGTTTTCAAATGCATTATTGGATAGAAACTATAGTCTTGATACCTTCAAGAAATATACTACAATTGTTACAATCATAAAGTGTATCATGATTGTAGCATACAAATATTACAAGCAAATTATTATTTTTGCTAGATTGCAGTACACGATATCTTAAGAATATAATTCTGAAAGTACATATTATTAATGTTAGAAATCATTTTTAAAAACAATTACTTTATAATCATACTTGTGTAATCATACTTAAGTGTATGTGAACTTTGATAATTTCTTAGACTTGTAATTATTAGCTGGACAATTCACAACTTTTCAAATAAATAAATCCCAAGAAATATGTGAAACGGTATACATTTATATTTAATTAAAAGGGCCATAGAGAGTGTTCGTAAGTTAAAACTTGTCAAAGAGATACACCTTTTCCGGAAAGTTTGACACGTTACAACGTGGTGCACGTCGTTAAAGGTCGTTCTACATTATGCAGGATTCACACCGCGTCCGATGTCCGATGTATGACTTTCGATATCCAATAGGAGAACAGCTTTTTAATATAGAATTCAATTCTCCGGGAACGGTGCACTTGGACACTATGCATTTGGATACAGCCAATCACAACCCCGTGTGATTAGAAACATTTGTAGGGTCCCTTGGAAGAGCGACTTGTGATTGGACTGTGTCCAATTGCCCCGTGTCCAACTGATATACACCCCAATTCTCCATTGGAAAGCTATTCTTTTATTGGATATCGGACGTCGGACATCGGACGCGGTGTGAATTCTGCATTAGTTGTAAACCGATCGCAAGCAGACGCAATTCTTATTGCGACAGCCAATCAGAAGCATCAATGGTGCTATTGACCTTAAAGGACGTTCTACATTCGTTGCAAGTCGATTGCAACTCTTGTTGCGACAGCCAATCAGAAGCGTCAATAGCACCATTGATGCTTCTGATTGGCTGTCGCAACAAGAGTTGCAATCGACTTGCAACGAATGTAGAACGTCCTTTAAGGTCAATAGCACCATTGATGCTTCTGATTGGCTGTCGTAATAAGAATTGCGTCTGCTTGCGATCGGCATGCAACTAAAGGTGCCGATACGTGGGACGTTCGAGCGTTAAAGTATTAGCCAATCAACGTATCAGGTTCCAGAAATATACTTGTAGTTCTTGTGGAAAGTGGCACGTTGATTGGCTACCGTTTTAACGCACGACTCTCGATACTCCCATGTAAAGGCACCTTAATGTAGAACGACCTTTAAAGGTCGTTCTACATTAGTTGCAAGCAGCCAATGATCGTAAGCAGCACTATTCCTGTTGTAAGCTAGTCGCAAGCAATAATCGCAAGGTTTGCCAAAGTTCAAAGTTTGCGCCTCTGCGATATAGCGACAACTAATCAGTATCGAGCTCCGCATATATAGGTTTATCAACTTTACCTGCATCAACTTTACCTGTCTGTTCTTGTTTGTTCGCTTCCATATTTAAACGTAAGTACTACTCTGCATGTTCATCTTGACTTTGGTTCCTTTTTCCTGTGACAGAGTCTTATAGCATGTTCGACTGGCTCTGGGTTAACCCGCTCTGAGTTATTCTCTGAGCCTACGTTTATTGGTCGAACAAATACTTATAAGCTTTATGATTGGCTAGTAGACACTTATGACGTCATTAATCGCTTACGGAGCGATTAACCTAGGGCCAGTCGAACACGCTATTATGGTGCGTTCAGATGGAAAAAGAAATAGCGTAACGGAACAATTACGGAAAAGAGATATAGTGGGGATCAGCCAATCAGAGTAATTCTGTTTTTGATCCGTCCTGTGGTTTGATAGGTAGGTTTCACATGGCAGAGAACTGTTACGGAACGGAACGAAAACGGAAAACATTCTAACCTATCAACATCGAGAATTGTAAAATTTTTGATTTACGACTAAAGAATAATTGACTATGATTGGTCAATTTTCTTGCGACTTGAAACTTGCAACTAATGTAGAATGACTCTAAAGGACCATCTACAATGGAAAATCGTACGCTAGCAGAAATTGAAATCATTCAATTGAAATCAAAAGAAATTGATCAATCATACTGGATTTTTATAAGAATAATCGATTGTGATTGGTCAATTTCTTACTACTACGATTCTCCATTGTAGATGGGCTTTAAAGGCTAGTTTATGATGGATGTAGGAATATCTGAACGGAGCGTATTTTGCGGGGAGTGAACTTACAGGGATGAGAGGAATGAAAGTTGGAAGTGATCACCAAATTTGGCGGCGGCCTATATCACGGAGCACAATAACTGCGTTCGGCATTGTAAATCGAAGAAATAGGATTGCTTTTTTACTTCGAAAATGCACAGAAGTGAGAGAGATACGAGATCTCGTATCTTTTTCGTTTCTTCATTTTCGAGATGAAAGAGCAATCCGACATCTTCGATTTACAATGCCGAACGCAGCTATTGTAGATCGAGACTTAAGGCTGGTTTATGATGATCGTAATCCGTTAACTTATGCTGGAACCGTAAAAAATTGACCAATTATAGTCGAATTATAGAAGAATAATCGACTGTGATTGGTCAATTTTATACGGTTCCGACATAAGTTAACGGACTACATCATAAACTAGCCTTTACTATACCGAATGCAGTTATTGTAGAACCAGCCTAAGGCCTGGAATGCAATATGCCGTATGTCGGAGTTGGATGTCGGAACTCAGCCGATGGTCCTATGAGGAGAACTCATTCTCGAAAAATAAATTCTGTCATGGGACCATCGGCTGCGTTCCGACATGCGACAGGGACATATGGCGTACTGTGTTCCAGATTTAACGTAGCTGGAGAAAGTATCCACTGTCTGCACTTGGAACAATTTGTTTCTTCGAGACGAAAATGTCGCTAGTTAGGAACCCTAGAAAACAAACTCTTCTATTGGATCCGTTGTACATTACTTTAGATGTCGTGCGTAGGCAAATCCTCCATCACGAAAAATCTACTCAGTTGCCGCTCTATGAACGAAATTTTTCGGCGAAGTGAATTGAATAGCAGTGACGAGTGAAAACGCCGAGTTGTTAGATGTGGTGTGCGATTTATTGTATGCATCTGTCGGCGAAATCACTTGTGGTGTTGAAGATAGAATAGATGTACAATAGTATTCAAGTTGAATTACCTACAAGCTACTAACGTCGTTCCACAAGATTACTGCATTTCTGTATAATCACCGGTGAGTCCATCTAAACGAATTCGTTGTTGCCTTTTCCCGAGACAGAGTTGTTTATATAGCACGTTTCTAATCAAATTTAATACGGTCTGCTTTGAAATATGCGGGAAAGTGATATGTGTCTTCAAAGTTTTATTTTGAAGTTGTACATGCATATTGTACACATACGTGTACACACACACACACACACACACACACACACACACACACACACACACACACACACACACGCGCGCGCGCACACACACCCACACACACACACACACACACACACACACACACACACACACACACACACACACACATATATGTAA